GGGGGGATGCTTTTCACTCACCTCATAGTTCTAGCCGACCTTTGACAATGAGACTGTCACAGGTCGGCTCAGTAGATCGGGAGGTGAGCGGGAACACATACCGGCGTTCGCTCACCTCTCGATCCTGTCACGGCTCTCTGCCGTGACAGGGGAGGGGCTGATTCCCCCCTCCCTGCTCCGATCCTCCAGCGCTGACTGGCGGAACGGACGGGGGAGGGGGCGGGTACAGCTGGCTCTGCCTCTAGATAGGAATTGCAAGTTGCCGAGTGGTTGTCAGGTTCAGCTTCCTGTGATTTGGCTTCTGACTCCGGCTTTGTATCCTGACTACGCTTCCTGCTTGCTGTTTTGTACCTTCTCTGCCCAGCTGTTACATAGTTACATGGTATTTGAGGTTGAATAAAGACATTAGTCCGTCAAGTCCAACCTATTAGGATCTAATTCTAGGAGTACCTGTACCCCTGTGTATTACCTGTACCCCTGTATAGTACCTGTACCCCTGTATATTACCTGTACCCCTGTATAGTACCTGTACCACTGTATATTACGGTCCCTTAAGAAATCGTCCAAAAGTTTCTTGAACAATTCCACATTATTTGCTGAGATCGCCGCCTGTGGCAGTGAGTTCCGGACCCTAACTGATCTTACTGTGAAGAACCCCCTTCGCCCCTTGTGCTTGTCCTTGGCTTGCTTCATGACTTTGTTCCTTGCTTACTCCTTGTGTACCTGCGCGGCCCAGCTGTGTTTGACCTTTGGTTTGATCCTGCTGCATCTGAGCCAGCTACGGGCACTCGTGCTTCTGCTTACCCTGCCCCAACTCTAGGGATTGCTGGACAGGAGGTGCAGGGGCTGGCCCCGAATCACTCCACCTGGAACATGACAGAATGCTTGTGGAAGGTGGAACCCATGATTAGAGGAACTGATGCAGTTTCCAAAGCAAAGGGAGGCCCGACCCAGTATTAGTAGGCTTTTCCCAACAAAGTGCTCCACGAGTGTACACAGGAGATAAAATAACTTGTACAGCTTAGTGAATGGACTCGTTAGTTGCATGGCTGGCCAAACCTGAGGAGCCATCTTAGCAATACAGCTCACTTTAACTGTAGGCCAGTCCAACCTAACCACTCCAACTATCAGCATTCCTCATTGTAGGTGGCAGTATAACCCGACTGTGATCAGAAGGCTCCCAGTTATCTTTTGTGGTCAGAGTTACTTAGGCTTCCGAAGTCTTCATGACCCCTACTGATACCAACCTGATGTGTGCCATGATTTTGTGGTCAGCGTGCCAAATAACTGGGCACGCTCTAGTGAAATGATAGAACCTGGGGAAGGGCGGGAGGGTCAAGCGCGACCTCGCCGTGACGTGCCTGGGAGCTCCCTGTCACCCTTCTTAAGGGGAGGAGAGCCGCCGCAACTCCTCCCACAAACACGGCCAAGATACCTTGGCCTATTACTTCTCATACCCAGGGCCGGATTTACTCTTCCTGCCGCCCCAAGGCCAGGTTCCCCAATACGCCCCCCCTTCCCAGCAATGGAGAACGGCAACCAGATGGCAGGGCGGCGGGGTTAGTTTCAATTTTTTTTTACTGTTTCTTTATTCTTTTTTTTACCACTTTTTATTTTCATTATTTTTTAATCAATTTCATTTTTTTTAGATTTTTATCTTATTTACTTTTTTATAATTTTTTTATCTTATTATTGTTTATAATTATTTTTTAATAATTTGTTTCTTATTATTTTTTACTTTGTAATCACCTTTTTATTTAATTATTTGATATTTTTTTCACCTAACTTTATTGATATCACACATGAGATAACAAGCCCCCTGTGTGATAGCAATTGGAGGTGACAGGTTCTCTTTATTGACCCCGTCACCTCCAATACAGGAGTTCTAGCGCAGCACTGTGCTGGAACACCTGTGACAAGTGAGAGAGGAAGAGCACAGCACAGCACAGCTCTCCCCTCTCACTGTGCACACGGAGCGGCAGGGTTACTTTTAACCCGGCCCCTCTGCTCCCTGCAGTGAGGAGAGACTCGGCGGCGGAGCCCGGAGCACGAACCGGCCGGCTGCAGACTTTTTACATGTCATCTCGGCGACATCGCTAAACGAACAACCTGACTCTACATTTAGCTCGGCTTGTGCAAAGCAGGACTAAATGTAGAGAGGGCAACTTACCGCCCAACGCCCGGAACTTCCCCACAAGGACACCGCTGCCGCCCCTCTGCGCCGGGCCTCACTGGCCTTGTGGGAAATCCGGGCCTGATCATACCCCATTTCAGTGTGTGCGCTCTATATTCTACATCCATTCATATGTGAACTGACTTCTATTTTGCTGGCTGGGATCGTGACAGAGGGAGCATAGTTGGGGTATCTAAACCCCAAAACAGGACAGGAAGCGTGTTACTCGCAGGATCAATAAAGGAAGAATAACGCAGCCAGAACACCCGTGGACGGGTAAGTTACTGTATATTACATTCTGTTCCTGAGTTTAGATACTTTAACGTCATTGACGGTGTTGCATTCTTCCTCCAGCACGTGTTGTTTCTTCTGCAGCAGCGAGATACTGACCCCGAGTTAGAAATTCATTTATGGGTCCCGACATAAGAATGTTTTTGGGTGCTGAAGTAGATGTACACCCAAAAAGTCACAGTGTGCCCTGTATACGGAGTATCAAGCAATTGCCATCCTTTGTCCCATCTCAGTGCTGCTGATCTCCTGCAGCCACTTCCTGTCTACATGCACTCCACTGATGGCTGCGCGGCATATCTCAGGGCGGGTTTCCTGATGGTGACAACAGAGGACCGTGTCTGTGTGCTGAAACGGTCACTTGTCGTCTCCATTGGAAGCCCGTGTGACGAGGATTGAGCGTTGCCACTCTAGAACAGGAAGTGCCTAAGCAAGGATTTTTATGGCAGGATCACCAGGGATTTACTGATGGCTGCAGATTTAGAATGGCAATCCCCGAAAATAAGACACTGTATTATATTTTTTTTGGCTCAAAAAAAATACACTAGGTCTTATTTTCAGGGAAACAGGGTAATGCTTACATGACATTTTAGTGATGGGATTTACATCCTTTAATTGCTCCGGGAATCCACTTGACTAAAAAAATAAAATTGTTACAAATATAAAAAAAAACACAAAATATTTATTTATTAAACTTTTATTCAAAAAAAAAATACATATTTATATAAACGGTTCCAGCTGTCATTTCAGGCCTCGGCTTGTTTTAAAGGAGAACTATGGGGTCGGTGTTTTTCCCCATAGTTCTCCTTAGGGTAACGGGAGGACACAAACTAGCGTCCTCCCGTCACCCTAGGCTCAGTATATAGGGAGCTACAGCTCGCGGTACACTGAGACGCCGCAGCGGATCCAGACTTAAATGACGCGATCCGCCCAGCTGCGTGACTGACAGCTGGCTCCGCCTATCTAGAGGCAGAGCCAGCTGTACCCGCCTCCTCCCCCGTCCGTTCCGCCAGTCAGCGCTGGCGGATCGGAGCGGGGAGAGGGGAATCCAGCCCCTCTCCAGAGAGCTGTGACAGGATCGAGAGGTGAGCGAGCGTCGGTATGTGTTCGCTCACCTCCCGATCTACTGAGCCGACCTGTGACAGTCTCATTGTCACAGGTCGGCTAGAACTATGAGGTGAGTGAAAAGCCCCTCCCCCCTCATAGTTCTCCTTTAAAGGAAATCGG